CTAGAGGACAGGCAGGAGGAGTTACAGTGTCTAGCGGCTGCTTCACCTCATCTCGCGTCTGTACTGCTTGCCCCTGAGGGAGACCCGGATGCACTAGACATCCCGACTCCGCGTTCTTACGCGGAGGCCATAGAGGGTCCCTACTCCTCTCAGTGGCAGGCAGCTATGGATGCAGAGATGGCTTCCTGGAAGTCCACAGGCACCTACGTTGACGCGGTTCCCCCTCCTGGGGCGAACATCGTCAGTGGCATGTGGATCTTCAGGGTGAAGCGGCCGCCGGGCTCTCCACCTGTCTTCAAGGCACGGTACGTTGCTCGTGGCTTCAGTCAGCGGCAGGGAGTTGACTACTTTCAGACCTTCTCTCCCACCCCGAAGATGACTACTCTTCGGGTTCTGCTGCACATAGCCGCTCAGCGCGACTACGAGCTTCACTCTCTCGACTTCAGCACTGCGTTCTTGCAGGGTAGCCTGCACGAGGAGATCTGGCTTCGCCGTCCACCTGGCTTCACTGGGACTTTCCCTCCTGGCACCCAGTGGAGCCTCCGACGGCCAGTCTACGGTCTCCGCCAGGCACCGCATGAGTGGCACGACACACTGAGGACTACGCTTGCGGCTCTTGGGTTTGCTCCTTCTACTGCTGACCCGTCGCTGTTTCTTCGCACCGACACTTCCCTGCCGCCGTTCTACATCCTCGTGTACGTCGACGACTTGGTCTTTGCCACAGCGGACACTGCTGGACTCGCCTACGTGAAGTCCGAGCTGTTGAAGAGACACACGTGCACAAACCTGGGTGAACTGCGCAACTACCTTGGCTTGCAGATCACTCGGGACAGAGCACGCCGCACCATTACCTTGACTCAGTCACACATGGTGCAGCAGGTCCTTCAGCGCTTCGGCTTCACGTACTCCTCGCCTCAAGCCACTCCTCTGCCTACTCGCCACTCACTCTCAGCTCTGCCTTCGGATGAGTCCATAGAGTCGAGTGGTCCGTATGCAGAGCTTGTTGGCTGCCTCATGTACCTGATGACCTGCACACGACCTGACCTTGCATACCCTCTGAGCATTCTTGCACGCTATGTTGCTCCTGGGAGACACAGACCGGAGCACATGGCTGCAGCGAAGAGGGTATTGCGCTACCTGTGCAGTACGTCGGGCATGGGGCTAGTGCTTGGAGGGCGGAGTCCAGTGGTCCTTACCGGCCACGCGGACGCTTCTTGGGCTGACGACCAGGCTACGCAGCGGTCGTCACAGGGTTACACCTTCAGCCTTGGTTCCGGCTCTGTCTCGTGGCGGTCTACTCGCTCGTCTTCGGTTCTCGGCTCCAGTTGTGAGGCTGAGATCTACGCCGGGGCCATGGCTGCACAGGAGCTTCGCTGGCTCACCTACCTGCTGACTGACCTTGGAGAGCCGCCTCGTTCTCCTCCAGTCCTGTACGTAGACAACAAGGCCATGCTGGCCTTGTGTCGAGAGCAGCGCTTGGAGCACAAAACGAAGCACATTGCTCTCCGCTACTTCCTTGCTCGTGAGCTGCAGCAGCGTGGTCAGTTGCGACTTGCGTACGTGGCCTCTGAGGCCAACACTGCTGATGTGTTCACCAAGGCACTCGCGCCTTGTGACCATCAGCGCTTTTGCACCCAGCTGGGTCTTGTGCCTGTCTTGCCTCACTTGCTCTCCTCTTGACTTCACTTGTACTGTGACATATATATATGCCTGCTCTTGCTTGTCTAGTTTTATATATATGTCTGTACTCCTGCATGTGAACTGGCCTCTGGCCCTACTCTTGTGCTCGGACTGTGTGGTGACTTTGTGATCCACCCTGAGCTTGCTTTGCTTTGCTTGACTGGTCTTGTGACCCCTTGTTCTCCCCCACTTTGCCTATGGGGGTGTGTCAGATTTATATTACATAGTTGCTGTAGGCTATAGTGGGGTAGCACATATGGGGTACAGGGTTTCTAGGGTTGTATTTGTACCCAATCTTTCCTTAGTCATTCCATTCCTGTTTTCCTTGCTTCACAAAGGCATGTTCCTCGTGCCCGTTGGAGTTCTCTGCCGTCAAGTAGTAGTGACGAATCCTTGTCAAGGACTCCTGCTCTTATTGTGTTTTTTAACACAGTGTTGCTTGGGTGTCCCATCCTTGCGTGCCAGGTGATTTCGTCCGCGCGATGTCTGGGTGATCGCCGGTACATATCGGAGTTGGAATAGAAGCTGGTGGTGAAGTTTGCGCTACGATGAACTTCTCGTGGTGCTGGGTGGAGCTGTTGTGCTGGTGTTGGTGGTGTTTCGTCAACGAGGACTGGTGTCGTTGTTGCTGCTACTGTTGTTGTTCCTGCTAGTGCCGATGATGTCTGTGCTGGTGCCAATGATGTCTCTGCTGCTGCCGATGTTGTCTCTGCTGCTGCCGATGATGTCTCTGCTGCTGCCGATGTTGTCTCTGCTGCTGCCGAATGTTGTATTGTTACTAACGCGCGTGTTCGTTCTGCTTCAGGAATGGTATGTGAATACCAAAAGAACCCTCTCTAGGATCAATCGGGCATCCACAGTGCAGATCTACTGACACTTGGACAGTTGCTGCGGACAGCAAATGAGCTCCTCGGGACTCTTCGTTCAACGCGAGCACCGACTTCAACGAGAGGTCGTCATCACAGTCGCTAATAACCAGAACCTGCGCACACGACGACAAGGGATTGTGCAACTTCAGTCACGAGAAACAAATGTTATACTACAGATGTCAAAAGTACTAATCGCGGAGGGACTCGGCTACAACTTACTGAGCGTCAGTCAGCTGATGGCGAAAGGCATACATCTCGAAGCAGACAGCACCACCCAAGAATTCAAGTTGTATCACGGGAGAGGAGGTCTCTACATCGGCAAGGCGGTCCTCAAGAACAACGTCTTCGTCCTCGATTTTGTCCCTGACCTTGGCACCGCCGACAGCGACGCCATCGTTAACTTCACCGACTGGACACATCCTCCAAACCTTGATCCAGACTTCAGTCACTGAAACAAGCCCTTTTATCCCAATGGTCTAGTGGTTGGGATTCTAACACCAAGAACCATGTGTCTTTCCCGGACGGTTCGCTTTGAGCGATGGCGGCGTACGTCGGGTTCGGTTGAAGTGACTCGCGGCGAGGCGTGCTGTTGTCGAGTTGTTCTTCTGGTGAGTAATATGGTGGTGACTCAATTACGCAGGAGTTGCTCAGCCTTGCCATGCAGCTGATGATGTTTCTTGTTTCTTTCGCAGGTTGTCCCGTCGATGTTGTTGAGACTTGTACCGAAGTTGTCGGATTTGCTTGCGTTGAGGCGACTTGACTGCTTGAAGGGCGAAGTTGGCGTTGTGGCGACGTTGACTGTTATCGATTCGGGCAGTGCGTACGAGGATGCCTTGAAGTCTTGCAGAGGTGGCAGAACGGAGGTACGATTTTCGGTCGACTGTTGTTGTTGTTGTGGCGCCGTTGAGTGTGGAGCGCGAATTCGGGTACTGATACCTTTCTCTTGTGTCGTTCTTCTTGCAGGTCCATGTCTTGCTGCTCAGCATGGATCTCGGCGCAGAGTGCTGCTTCGGAGATTCTCCCGTGTGCTCGTAGTATGGCGCGAGTGGAGCGCCAGTGAGGACCAAGACCGCCGATGACAACCGTGACGAAGGCGTCTTCTGAAATCGATCCTCCACATCGAAGAAGCTTGTCGCGCAGCTCGCGGCAGCGACTAATATACGCCATTCCCTTCTCGCCTGGTTTCATTTCGATTGTTGTCAGCTGCGCCATTAACCGACTTTAGTTTACGCTGTCTGTTGCTTGATACAGGTTCTTCAAGTGATTGTACGCGAGCTCCGCGGAGTTGCCATAATCTCGGTAAGTCCTTATGTTCTGCTGTTGAGTCGGGATGATGTTCCTCCGTGGTATCGTGTACGCCATCATCAATTGATAGGTGTACTGCTGCTTCTCATACTGTGTGCCGTTTGTCGGGTATGGCAGGGACCCGTCGAAGAAGCCAAGGATTTGCGCTCCTTCCATCATCAGCTCGAATTCGAACGACCAGGTAAAGAAGTCCTTCCCGTCAAAAGGTTTTGTCGTTTGCAGTTTTAAAACGTGCGCGAACTGCGAGTGAACTTGTAGTGCGTCCAGCGTTCTTTCTTGTCCCGGTGCAGGTTGTGGTTGTGGCATGAAGCTGACGGAGCCGCGCTATGGCTCGTACGGAGCGAAGGTAGGTTGTTGTTGTTGATTCCCGCGTGCGTAGGATGAGCCATCGAGACTCATGGGTGTCACGTTGTTGTTGTTGTTGCTGTTGTTTGATTGCGCAAGTACTCCTTGCTGATGCTGCTCGTAGAAGGACATGAAGGAGAAGAATTTCTCCATCATGCTTGGATCGAAGCCCGCGCCTTGGTTTGCAGGTGTTTCAGTAGACCCAGCGGCCGGTCTCGTTGTTGTGCCTTCCTCTGTCTGTAGGCCAGAGGCAGGAGGTGGAGTAGGAGTAGTACCAGGAGAGCCGTTGGAGGAGCTCCTCTCTTTTCTGGTCGACATGTCTCTTGGTGTAATTTAAGGGGAAATAGATTTTTTACCCTAACCAGCTCTCATACCATGTTGGGCAGAGTGCCCCTTAGGATCTTTAGTAGGGTTAATCTCTGGGTAGAATGATGTAGTAGCGGAAGCGTTAACAAAGAGATTCTGAACCACCTTGCGCTAGTATGTGAGGGCAAAGTAAGTTGATTAAAACAAGGAGATACAAGATTTTATATATGTTTACAAGGAATACGAAGAGATACGAATGATAACTGTTTTACTGTTGGCTGTTGCGGTTCGATACAGTGCGATTCGGGCAACTGCTCAATATCGAGTCAGTTGTGTGTCCTTGCTGTCGCGCTGCATTTGTCAAGTCAAAGGTCGCTGACCTTTGACCTTCGCGTAACCTCCAGCTGTTGCTTCAACTTCCGAGGGTTGACTCGCTGGTGCTTCGATATGCGTTGCTTCACTTGTGTCTTTAGTGTTTCGACACGACAGAGGCGCTTAGGACTGATTGTTTCCAACAAACTGCACGCCCCGGTTGCGTGCAAGCAGAGGCGCGTAATCACTCGTTTTGCGACGCTCCCATTCCCTTGCCGCCACACCTATTTGACGCCCGCACTGTCCCAGCAGTGATGGAGACAGCGATAGCGGGTCCGCGACGCTGATCTCTAGGGCGTGAGCCTCTCCAGCCATTGGACGTCGCACCGCCACATCAACCCGCTTCCCTTGCAGCACCACACTATCCTCCAATGTCACCACCCCCCCTGACGCCTTAGAGATCTTCGCCACCGCAAACTTCACCTCCTCATGCACCCGAGAAGGACCATGCTTGTGCCTGCATCTCAGGGCATGGTGCGGGTCTGCTGGGTCAACATACGTTGTGCCACAAACACACCTCCCCGCCACCTTCAGCTGCTGAATTGGGAGGCCGAGCCGTATAGCAGCAGCAATGCCCCACTCAGCCGCAATGAATGTGAGATCTGAGTGAGCCGGAACCGCCGAAACCCATGCACCTGCCCCCGGACCCTGAAGGGATGTGAAACGGGCCAAGGTAGCATCGTCACGAGCCAAGCGGCGCAGTGCCTGAAGCTCCTCTACAGCTAACTGCCGCTGACGCGCCTGGAAAAGCCGAACAGGAGGGGCCGCTACACACAGAGGTAAGCCCGGTATCTCGTGGCGGATAGTCGCTGGCAGCTGCTCGATAGCCTTGACAAGCCACGGGTCAAGAAACTCTGCCCCTGTCGAAGTGGTGAGGTACTCAGCAAACATCGCCTCCTCACCCGCCACCCCTAACTGTGCAATGTCTCGCGCGACCTGCGCCCACCCGCAAACATAGGACAGTGGGCTCAAAGAGGCTCCTTGTTGATTCTTACAACACTGGCTCCTAATGTCAGGAGGCTCTTTGACCTTCCGATTGTGGTGATCGTTTCTGGTGACACTGGGCTGCTCCCATCAAACAATGATTTCCTTCGCATGGGAGTGAAACTCTTACTGTTCTTCTCCATTGGCACAAAACGGGATGAGTTGCGGAAGGAGAAATGGCTTTCCATTGTGAAGGAGTATGGAGGACTTTCAATACAGGACTGTGAGGTGGATGCAGGTTCAGTCATCATGTGTGGATTCTTGCTGGGACTGGCTAATCCCAACCAGGCCAAATTTTATCAGTGTAAATCACCCTGATACCCTGATTATCAGGGTGGTTTTTGGTAGTCACACTGATGCCTCAAGGTAATTTTTTTTGGAGCTGTGATTTTCCTGATCAGCCAGGGTATACGTTTAAGGCACACTGATGCACCAGGGCAACCGTTCTTCTTAGCGAGTTTTACCCAGAAGCTAGTACCGTACCACACCCCCCCCCCCCCCCCCCCCCGGACCTCCCCCCACTTTCCCATAACTCGGGATTCCCGTTGGCCAACTGTCAAAACCTGAATTTGCGTACATGTGTTGGCACGAAGTGGGCCACTATTGGCCAGAAATACAGTTTCACTCTACACAACGCCAAGGACTCAACTCGGACTAAACTCATTGTAACAATAACTGAGCAGGGTTTTTACAAGTCTTACACTGATGCCTCAGGGTAAAATTTTCAAACCTAGCCTGAACCCTGATGCAAAAGAAATTTCCTACCGGGTCACACTGATAATCAGGTTTTAGCTTAGGTGCAGCACTGATCATAAGGGTTGCTCAAAACCAAAAATTAGCCCTGATCCCAACACACCATCATCTGTGGCATCTCTAACCATTCAACCAACTCAGGAGGGCTCCAACAAACATTCTAACCAGTAGCCTGACTCTTAGGCATAAGCAGGGGGGCTTTCTCCCTCGATTTGGCCTATCCAAGACTCATGTTGCACAGAAAAGCACTAGAGCAGTTGTTCTAGCACGCACATGCAACCGAAGGTGGTGTTTAGGCGGAAACTCGGAACTGGGCAGAGGGAGTGACAGAGCACGGTTGGGATGGATTTGGATTCTGGTGTATTATTTTGTTATACATTTGGTGGTGCAGTGAAACCTGCCCATGACACGGGCAAGGCAGCTGCCATAACTGGACCACACCCGAAGCCGGGGCAATAAACTACAGAAATGCAGGCCACACAATTCCGCGCAAGCCGACGCTAGAAAGCCACACTACCTGTTTCTAAACTAGTTTTGAGGCTAATAAACTGTACACATCTTCATTTGAGCTCCAGCCTCTAGCTGCCGCCTTGATCTGCTCGGGCAGCTTCTCCTCCCAGGCATCAAAATCGGGGTGCGGACCAGTCAGTGCGAAAATGTTTCGATCCGACCCAGTAGTGCAGTAAAGCAGCACCTGCCCGTAAAAAATTTTCCGCATTGCCTCGATCACCTCGGCACATCGCCTCATACCAGGATCACTCCTGGCTGCTGCTGCTATTGCTGCCGTTCGATCTCCCTCCGTTACTTCTAGTTCGGCAGACTGGATTTGCTCGAAGCTCTTCAAGTATTCGCCGAAGCTGCTGCTAGGCCCCCCACAGTTGATCAGCACCCTTCCTTCAGGGCTCAGGTGGTTCTTCAGGTGCCGCCAGGTGGCTTCGTCTTCTAGCTGAGGGAGGGCGGCACCACCTGAGAAGAGATCCACTATGATGCCACTGAACCGCTGCTGTCCAGCTGTAGCACCACCTGCTTTAGCATCATCTACAGTGCTAACTGTAGTAGCGTCAACAGTGACGCCTTCAGTAGAGGAACTGGTGCCCTGTAAAGGGACAGGAACCGCTACAAGAGCATTGCCTACAGTCACATGCAGGTAGCCCCCTTGAGTTGAGGGTTTCTCCAAAGAGGTGAGGGAGAAGAAGCGACGAGCAAGATCCACCACCTGAGGGGAATGGTTGAATAAAGTGTGCATGATAGTGTGCAAGTGTGTGCAAGTGTGTGCATTTGTGTGGGCATGCGTGGCTATGTGTGGATACATGTGCATGTGTGTGGCTATGTGTGCATGTGTGTGGCTATGTGTGCATGTGTGTCGCTATGTGTGCACGTGTGTCGCTATGTGTGCATGTATGTGGCTATGTGTGCCTGTGTATGAGAGCATGCATATGTGTGCACGTGGGCTAGTGAGTGACAGAGAAAGAGAACGATAGTTTCATCATCACTCCCCTTAACCACCCACCGCTTGGTCCATCTCCCATGCCTGCATGCCAACATCCGGCAACTCTGCCAACATCCAGCAACTCTGCCAACATCCAGCAACTCTGCCAACATCCAGCAACTCTGCCAACATACAGCAACTCTGCCAACATACAGCAACTCTGCCAACATACAGCAACTCTGCCAACATACAGCAACTCTGCCAACATCCAGCAACTCTGCCAACATCCAGCAACTCTGCCAACATCCAGCAACTCTGCCAACATCCAGCAACTCTGCCAACATACAGCAACTCTGCCAACATACAGCAACTCTGCCAACATACAGCAACTCTGCCAACATACAGCAACTCTGCCAACATCCAGCAACTCTGCCAACATCCAGCAACTCTGCCAACATCCAGCAACTCTGCCAACATACAGCAACTCTGCCAACATCCAGCAACTCTGCCAACATACAGCAACTCTGCCAACATCCAGCAACTCTGCCAACATCCAGCAACTCTGCCAACATACAGCAACTCTGCCAACATCCAGCAACTCTACCAACATCCAGCAACTCTGCCAACATCCAGCAACTCTGCCAACATACAGCAACTCTGCCAACATCCAGCAACTCTACCAACATCCAGCAACTCTGCCAACATCCAGCAACTCTGCCAACATGCAGCAACTCTGCCAACATACAGCAACTCTGCCAACATGCAGCAACTCTGCCAACATACAGCAACTCTGCCAACATACAGCAACTCTGCCAACATACAGCAACTCTGCCAACATACAGAGCCAAGGAGCCCTCTCCCAGCACCAGCAGACCCCCTCTCCCACCCCCTCTTCCCCCTGCTATCGCTCTCCCTGCTCACAGCACCACTTGCCACTTGGTAACGTTGTAACAACGTGACCATTCAGCCGACCCAGAAGTCACCTCACACTCACCACTAGGTCATTCTCCCATGCCTGCACGCCGACCTCCGGCCACTGTGTTCTGATAACGCGAGCCACGGAGCCCCCTGCCAGCCCCAGCAGTCCCCTTCATCCACCCCCTTTTCCCCCCTGCTATCGCTCTCCCTGCTCACAGCCATGACTTGGTAATATGGTAACAACGAGACCATTTAGCCAACTCAAAAGTCAATTCGCACTCACCACTAGGTCAATCTCCCACGCCTGCACGCCAACCTCCGGCCACTGTGTTCTGATAATGCGAGCCACGGAGCCCCCTGCCAGCCCCAGCAACGCCACTGGCCCGGGTAAGGGCGCGTTCTCGCCAGAGTCGAGCTCGTGTGACAATAACGGGGCCAGCGACGCCAGGTTGTCCCAGTAGGATCGCGTCCAGATGGTTCTCCTGAGGAGGAGGGGTTTCGGTGGGGTTGCGTAGGCAGACGGGGGAGAAAGGAAAGCGAAGGAGTGAGAGGGAAGAATTCAGTGAAACAAGGTGGTATGGTTCGGTGAGGATGGTGAATCAAAGGAAGAAAAAGGAAATTGAAGGGTACCACGGAGGAAGGTGTAGGAGCGGGGAGGTGGAAAACCCTAAACCACGAGGTTGAACTCTAAATCTGACTGGACTATCTGTCATAGCCTGGCCTGGCACGCACTTGTTGTAAAGACTCGACACGTTGTTCGAGTCGTCCAATAGCATGACCCGCGATCCGGCTAGCACCAATGAAGGATCGTCTGCGTCGTCCTTCCCTCCCCCACCTCCCACCTCCTCCCCCTGCGCCCTCCCCTCCGACGCATTTTCCGCCTGATTCTCCGCGAACTCTAGAATGGTGATCCGAGAGTATATCGTCTGCATGCATGCAAGCACGCGTAACCTTCCCGTCTCGGTATCTAGCCAATCCCCGCTTGCCACGTCATCTTCGTCGGACCCCGCATCTTCCGGTACCCCTGGATCATATTCTTCCGCGACTTGCGCTGAGGGTCTAATGCGAGCCGTGCCACGTGGAAGTGCTTGCGTATGTTGTGGTCTCCACGTTACAATGCTAGAACCCAGACTGCCAGTTAACGAGTCCGACACAGAAAAGCGGGACGAAAGTGGGCGACATTCAAAAGTCGTGAACCTCAGATTACCTTTAAGAAGTTTCCTGGGCAGACGTCGTCCGATCAGACCTCTAACCTGTCGCGATGGAACGACACGTGGCAATGCAGGCCTTTCGCGAGTGGCGATGACGGGTGACGATGCGCAAGAAGCCATGTTACTAAGACAACCAGGATGGGGCGAAGGAAAAGTGAGCGACACGCGTTATGGTGGGCTTGCCTTCCTAAATCCTGATGGCTCCCATTCTTCGGCGACTCCTATTTGTTGGTGATTGTGTGAAGTGTTTGAACAACATAGTGACACTGAATATAATAGCAAAGATCGTCTCCCATCGTTTCGAAGTTGTCAATATCGAATATTCCTGCCCCCAGAAGTCCCAACATCTCTGTGTACACGTCACACAAACCCCACCCACACAGGAGTTTCGGATGTTCGTCCGATCGTCTGATGTGACATCCTAGCCTTCGGTTCTTTTTGACCGCAACTTTTAGTTGCAGCTTGTCCAGCGTGGCAAAAGCAGAACCATCTGACCCGTCCTGCCACGGGGGGGCAGATTTTTGTCCCAATGCAGAACGACGAGGTAACTCCACGGGAATCTCGGGGCCAAGGATCCCGCTGATTGGGCAAGGCCTGACTCTAGAATTGCCGACTTTGGTTCGAACCGACTGTCATCGATGTGAACTTGGTTTCACGACCATTAGCCCTTCACAAGCGTAGGTGCGGCCCCGCTACATAAGTTCAATAGCACTGGTCTTCTCTAAACAAGATACTTATAGTCATCACAGCTACATAATGCTGGGTGCTTATTAGATTTGTGTTTTATTGCCGTCAAGTGCTGGAATGAAGGTTCAATTTTTCCGAACCAGCATTGAAAGTGCACCTGTTCGATTAGCCTTGAAATCGATTTGATTTCTTGTTTCTACTACCATGATGGTGAGTGCCGTCATGCAAGATTCAGCTCTCCGACGTTCCTTCCCCTTCCCCCATGGGCCGTTCCGCCAAATCCACTTGTCTCGATTCTTTGCATGGCTGTCAGCCATGCTCGGGAAGGTACAGAATTCGATGACAACCCATCCCAACCCAACTCATTCCAAACCAACCCAACTCATCCCAGCTCCCCACTTCCCACACCCCAGCCAAACCACCACCAAGCACCCTCCCACCAACCAAGCAAGGCATGGATGCGAGGGAAGATCACATCCACACATCCACATCGCTGGTTTCCGCAACCCGTTCAGATTTCCCTGAGAGAATCCTTTGTTGCATCAGCTCTTCTCAGCTCATTCCCCTGTCGCCCCGACGCCTATCCGTCTTGCTCTCCGACATTCATGGAAACGTGCATTCCGCAGAACAGCGAAGGCAACCCTCAACTGATTTAGGCCACGAGGACACTCATTCTTGCAGTTTACAGAGGTGTTTCTCTTTTGTAAATCTGAGTTGAGGCGCTTCCCTGTTTCTAAATACGAAATAATCCTGTGATTTGCCTTCAAGCAGAAATCATGAGACCAGACGAGGAAGAGCCTACCCGCTCGACGTCGGTGTCCATACGGCTCATATCGGCGCACAACCTGCACAGAGCGAAGGTCTTCAAACGTATGAGTCCCTGCGCGGTCGTGTCAGCATACGGCGACGCTCGCTCGAGCCAATTCCTACCTCCCGTAAAACACGGCCACGCGAATCCCGTCTGGGACACCCTCCTAGAATTCTCCGTCCCGGACCATCTTCTACGCTTGGACGAACCTGCAGATTCAAATTCACAGGATACCAACCTCATAAAACCGTTCCCGCATGTTATAGTCAAGATCTACGCGTCAGCATCGTTAAGGACGTCCTTAGGTCGCGCTACGATACCGTTAGAACAGGCGATTCGACAATACGACCAGACGCACGCTCAGTTCTTCCCTCTGGTGCGGAAATTCATTATCGGGGAAAGCGCGTGCGGAGCGATACAAGTGGAAGTGAAGGTCGGGCGGACGAGTTTCGCTCCGAGGAAAGGCACGGCGGCGTACACCGCGTTCGTGCGGACGCGTTCGCCCTTCTGTTACAGTCACAGAGCGCTCGATACGCTATCAGCGGCGAGAGCCACGCGGAGATTGCCGACAACGCCGTGCTGCGCTGAAGCCACGTGTTGCTGTCCGGGTCACTTGAACGGGAAGCTTTCCAGACACTCCCCGAGAACGATTTTGGTGGAGAATCCTGATGGGTCGATTCAGGGATTTGGATTCAGAGTATCGTGAGTGAATTTGCCTCTTCCTTGTTCGTTCGTTTTTTTGCGTGTGCTGTCATGCATGTTCTGCTGGTTAATGAAATAAATCCTGCCGCAATGGCCTCTGAGAAAGCCTCGTTGTTTGTAAAAAAAAAGGCAGAGTGCATTTCAGTGTATGTAACGGCCAATTTGGAAGGTACTCTTCATATGCTTTTGAACACCGGAGATGGAAGAAGACAAAGAAAAATAAAACCCCGAACCAGAACCTTAAAGCAACAAGAAATGGTTTCACGTCATTCGCCCCCTTCTTTGTAACCCATGGCTCCACTCTCACCTCTCCACTCCTTCAACGTCCGTGCCAAGCGACTGCACAAAGATCCCCGTCTCCCCTCGCCCAGTCCCTTACTCGTTTTATCCAATCTTTTCCTCTCTCCAACCTCAGTGTCCCTCCCGCTCCCTCTTTCTGGGCTCCCCTCCCTTTTTGGTTTTCCCTCCCTCTGGATTCCTCTCTTCTCCCTCTGGGTTTCTTTCCTCTCCCTTTGGGTTCCTCTCCTCTCCCTCTGGGTTTCTCTCCTCCCCCCCTCGGTTTTTCTCGTCCCCTTCTGGGTTCCTCCCCTCATCCTTTGGGCTCCTCTCCTCCTTTGTGTTTCTTTCCTCTCAACATGGGTTCCTCTCCTCTTCCTCTGGGCTCCTCTCCTCTTCCTCTGGGTTTCTTTCCTCCCCCTTTGGGTTCCTCTCCTCTTCCTCTGCTCTCCTCCCCCCCTGGGGTTTTCTCCTCCCCTTCTGGGTTCCTCCCCTCTTCCTCTGGGCTCATCTCCTCATCCTCTGGGCTCCTCTCCTCTCCCTCTGGGTATCTTTCGGGCTCCCTACTTCCTTTCTGCCAGACTCTCCCCATTGTCCTCATTAGGGCAACAAGCATTCTTTCCTCAAAGCCCTAATCGCATTCCTCTGCTCCACTTTCACTCGCTCATCCCATCATCCCACATTTCCTTCCAGTCTTCCTTCTGATAACTTCCATCAGCTTTCTCACTTCCGTCACCTTGTCTCCACCTGCTCTATCTCTCTCTCTGCTGCACACTCCCCTTAATCGTCCATCCTACCCTACCCTGCACACTCTATCCTCACCCCTGACTTAACAGTGGTCTTTTCCTCAATCCTATTTTCTGACGTCAATGCAATGAACCGGATTTTTAATCTCCGATGAGGCAGCACGTTTGAGGACATTTGAAAGATTCAGCTGGACGGCCTTTGTAATATACCTGAACTCGTCTCAAGATGGAATTGCTACCGGTATTTGTTGTAGAATTGGATGGCAAGTGCGAAGTATGTGTACTCTGCATATATGAAACTAGATATAGAAAGATTCATGCCTAGGTTTATGCTTCAGATTATGATTGGCTGATATGGTGTGTGACATATCTAGTGATTTTGAACAATGTTTCACCTCCTACAGATGCTGCAGAAAGCATGTCTGTTTGTAACGGGCTTGTCTATAGGAAATGTCTCGCGACTGCGAAAAGCATTGCTCGCTAAACATCGATATCATCTCCGACTGCCCACTTAACCTCCACGGCACACCCTTTTAGTTCTCCAAATTATCTTACCTGGGAAATCTTCCTTGCTACGCACTCCCTTCCGACCTAGCTTTTTGCGTGGCGTTTCGTTTCGTTGCGCGAGAGGTAGCTAGTTCGCCTTCTCGATTCACGCACTGGCTCTCCGATCGTAGCTGTCATCGTCCGTGTGACTCGTGAGCCGTCTTCCTACCACGAAACTAAGAAATCGTGTGAAGTTTTCCTCCAAGTATAGATCCTATCACCGAAATCTGAAGGGAGGGTAGATTCACGGAGGTCTCAGGAGGGCATCCCCAAGGAAGATAAAGCACGATGAATCGGCGGAATGTGAGTTTCCGCTCTTTCTCTCTTCCGACTTCGAGGTTGCCGACCAGAATGATTAGCTTGTAACGTCGCATCCGCAATCGCTAGTTTCACCCTCCGTAGTTAAAAGATTCAGCAGGATGCGCGCTGTTTGCTCCGTGTGTGGGCTTAGTTGCTACCGCTATTGGTCTAAGACTCTACTGTATAAGGCTGAGAAAATCCTACTTTTTCTGCCCTTTTCATACTCACGATAATCGCGTATGGAAACAGGTGTCGTGTCCATGCAGTCGTTACACGAGCTTCCATTTGACAATCCGCTTAAAGGGAATTGCTTAGGACCCTTTCGCCCGGCGAATGGTTTCAAGGCTCCCAGCGTTTGCTCACGGAAAAGGAAGTGGTTGGTCCCGTTGCACCCCTCCCCACCTCATTCAGCCACTCTCTCTCCTCTCATTCTCCCCCCTCTCTCTACCTCTCTCCTCCCCAGGTACGACTACCGCCCGAAGTCAACAGAGCCATCTACGTGCGGTGAGTGTAGTGACGTGTGTGTGTGTGAAGGGGTGTGTGAAGTTGAGGGAGTGTGGGAGGGAGTTTGTGAGTGGCGTGTCCGGAGCACCATGTTTGCACATTCCCCTCCCTTCAACATGCGTCGTCTTCTTGCCAAGTGTATACAGTGTATTTTAGAGACGTCTAGAAAATACACTGTATACACGTGGCGTGTCCAGAGCACCATGGTTGCACATTCCCCTCCCTTCAACATGCATCGTCTTCTCGCCACTCGGTTGCACTCAAGCACTGTGCCTGCCTGCGACGCACCTATGATCGTTTGTGTGATAATAAGGAGCCCACGCTCTCTCACTCGCTTCCTGCTTCCATCTCCCTCGCTTCCTTCCTTCGTCCTTCCCCCTGCCTCACTTCTCGTCGCCCCCCTCCCCTCTGCCCCGTTACCCGTTTCCCTTGCGCCGTTCTTGTCCTCGTCACCCAAGAGTATGGCCTCCCACCTCCATACTGTCTCATCACTTCCTTCCCTCTCTATACCTCTTCACACCTCCCTACCGCTCCCTACCCATCTCTGCATCTCTCTGCTCCTCTCTACCCCACACTTCTCCAGTCATTTCCCACAGCATCCTACTGCTGTACGTATCATCTAAGAGGGTGTGCAACATTTCAATGAGTCCTTGCCTTTCTCTGCCCCTTCCTACCCCTCTATACCACTAAATGCCTCTCCCAACAGCAACTTGCCGTTCAACATCACGTCGGAGGGGATGTATGACATCTTAGTGTGCCCTTGCCTCTCTCTGCCTTAACCCCTCTCTACCGTTCTCTACCCCTCTACACCACCTGATGCCCCTCCCAACAGCAACCTACCGTTCAACATTACATCGGAGGAGATGTACGACATCTTTGGCAAATACGGCGCCATCAGGCAAATACGCATGTGAGTCGCTGCAGGGGCCATCCACCTGCACACTCCACCTGCACACTCCACCTGCACACTCCACCTGCACACTCCACCTGCACACTCCACCTGCACACTCCACCTGCACACTCCACCTGCACACTCCACCTGCACACTCCACCTGCACACTCCACCTGCACACTCCACCTGCACACTCCACCTGCACACTCCACCTGCACACTCCACCTGCACACTCCACCTGCACACTCCACCTGCACACTCCACCTGCACACTCCACCTGCACACTCCACCTGCACACTCCACCTGCACACTCCACCTGCACACTCCACCTGCACACTCCACCTGCACACTCCACCTGCACACTCCACCTGCACACTCCACCTGCACACTCCACCTGCACACTCCACCTGCACACTCCACCTGCACACTCCACCTGCACACTCCACCTGCACACTCCACCTGCACACTCCACCTGCACACTCCACCTGCACACTCCACCTGCACACTCCACCTGCACACTCCACCTGCACACTCCACCTGCACACTCCACCTGCACACTCCACCTGCACACTCCACCTGCACACTCCACCTGCACACTCCACCTGCACACTCCACCTGCACACTCCACCTGCACACTCCACCTGCACACTCCACCTGCACACTCCACCTGCACACTCCACCTGCACACTCCACCTGCACACTCCACCTGCACACTCCACCTGCACACTCCACCTGCACACTCCACCTGCACACTCCACCTGCACACTCCACCTGCACACTCCACCTGCACACTCCACCTGCACACTCCACCTGCACACTCCACCTGCACACTCCACCTGCACACTCCACCTGCACACTCCACCTGCACACTCCACCTGCACACTCCACCTGCACACTCCACCTGCACACTCCACCTGCACACTCCACCTGCACACTCCACCTGCACACTCCACCTGCACACTCCACCTGCACACTCCACCTGCACACTCCACCTGCACACTCCACCTGCACACTCCACCTGCACACTCCACCTGCACACTCCACCTGCACACTCCACCTGCACACTCCACCTGCACACTCCACCTGCACACTCCACCTGCACACTCCACCTGCACACTCCACCTGCACACTCCACCTGCACACTCCACCTGCACACTCCACCTGCACACTCCACCTGCACACTCCACCTGCACACTCCACCTGCACACTCCACCTGCACACTCCACCTGCACACTCCACCTGCACACTCCACCTGCACACTCCACCTGCACACTCCACCTGCACACTCCACCTGCACACTCCACCTGCACACTCCACCTGCACACTCCACCTGCACACTCCACCTGCACACTCCACCTGCACACTCCACCTGCACACTCCACCTGCACACTCCACCTGCACACTCCACCTGCACACTCCACCTGCACACTCCACCTGCACACTCCACCTGCACACTCACCTGCACTCATCTGCACACTCACCTGCACACTCGCCTGCACACTCGCCTGCACACTCGCCTGCACACTCACCTGCACACTCACCTGCACACTCACCCTCCTTAGGCGATTGGCGCTCTGGTGTATCCATTGCCCCGTTTCTGCTGCAAAACTTGTGAAACATCAGGCACACTCTTGTGCTGTATGAGGCCATTTTCTTGTACCCTCTCATGGGAAGAATGCCATTCGTTTCTGCACCCCCTTTAGCGTAGTCTCCGTCAACGCCTATTGTCCATGTCCTTGTGCCTGCCAGCAGAAGGGCGACTATGAGGCGGTTGATTTTGAGAATTTTCAACATCAACCACCGTACGGACATGGTCCTACACCAAGTTTCCCAGCTTCCATTCCATTTCACCAGCCCACAATTGTTCTCTTGTAATAGCGGTGACAAGGAACGGCGTTCCTGGAGTGCGGTGCACATGCTTGGTGTTTTGAGTCGACCCAAAACACGACTCCTACCAGTCCTAGATCGTTCTTTCATAATAGCGGTGACAAGGAACGGCGTTCATGGAGTGCAGTGCGCATGCTTGCAGTTGTATCGTGGCCCCCAGGAACGGCACTCTTGAGAATTCTTGAGAATGATCAACAAAGAAAAGGGCACCAAGGGGAACGGCCTTCTTGGTGTACCGAGGACATGTACGGCGCCAAGAATGCCGCGGAGCATCATTCCCTCCTTCCTGTCCGTGTCCTGTTCATTCTTATCCCTCTTCCAGCGGAGTGACCAAGGAGACGCGCGGGAGCTTTCGTGGTGTGCGAGGACATGTACGTCGCAAAGAACGCCGCAGAGCATTGTTTCTCCTTGTCTTCTCCCTCTCTTATCCCTCCTCCAGCGGGGTAACAACGGAAACGCGCGGCACGCCTTTCGTGGTGTACGCGAGGACATCTACGATGCCAAGAATGCCGTTGAGCATCCTCAGCGCGCCCTCAGCATTGCCTACCTTTTCTCTCCTCGTGTTTCCCTTCAGAGACGTGACAAAGGAGACACGCGGCACGGCCTTCGTGGTGTACGCCAAGAACGCCGTGGAGCATCCTTCTTATGCCCTCCCTGCCTTGCCCCCTAACTGTGTTTCATGTTTCCCTTTAGCGGTGTGACAAAAGAGACGAGGGGAACAGCGTGTGTGGTGTACGCGAACATCTACGACGCGACGCCAAGAACGCTGTGGAGCATCATTCCTTCCTGCGTGCTTCCTCCCTGTATCATTCCCTTTCCAGCGGAGTGACAAAAGAGACGCGAGGCACGGCCTTTGTGGTGTACGAGGACATATACGACGCCAAGAACGCGGTGGAGCATCTGTCGGGGTTCAACGTGGCCAATCGGTACCTCATAGTGCTCTACTATCAGCAGGCCAAGTTCACCAAGAAGATCGACCAGGTATGCTCTACCTGCTGCGATGGTGCCCTTTGAAAGTAGTTACAGGCAGGTTGGAGGTTCAACGTGACCAATCGGTACCTCACTACCAGCAAGCCAAGTTCACCAAGAAGATCGACCAGGTGAGTGCATTCAAGGGTCAGGAGATAGCATTCCCCTGGAAGTGGGATGTGTTCAGCACAAACAAACACAGATACCTCATAGTGCTCTACTACCAGCAAGCCAAGTTCACCAAGAAGATCGACCAGGTATGCCCTCCTGTTGTGTTCTGCGGTTTGTATGCATGAGGCACAACCCGCAGTCGGGCTCAACCTTGAAGGAATGAGCTGGGTCTGGAATGTGCTTCCCTGTTTGGAGGCTCAACGTGGCCGACAGATGCCTCATAGTGCTCTCTACTACCAGCAGGCCAAGTTCACCAAGAAGATCGACCAGGTGTGTTGATTACGGTCTGCTCTGCTGTTTTGCAGTCTCAGGCGCAACCGACTGTCCAGAACAACAGAGGTGAGCGAGGTGGGATTAGGATGTGCTTCTTCATTAGAGGCTTACCTGAACCCTCTTCCGTACTGCTGCTTTACGGTTTCTGCGCACTATGTTTGACCAGCAACCAATACAGGCATATTCACATGTCACCTCTGCCCCTTTGCCCCGCGCTCCCCTTTCTGTTCCCCCCTTCCTCTTCCGCCTCTCTTCTTCTCTGTGTGGCCCTTGCTGGGGTGGGTGAGCAGAAGAAAAATGAGGAGGAGCTGGATAAGATGCAGAAGAAGTATGGCGTGTCGGGGGAACAGAAATAGTATAGTTTTGAGGCGCCTCAGAAATAGTGCGAGGCACATGCTGGTGCGGCTACTGTGATGTTGTCGGGGATGTGTGGTGCTTTCTGGGATGGGTGAACAGAGGAAGAGCGAGGAGGAGTTGGGTAAGAGGCAGAAGAAGTATGGCGTGTCCGGGGAACAGAAATAGCTAATGAGGAACAGTACAGTATGCACATTTCGGCACGGCCTCTGTGACGCAGCAGAAGAAGTATGGCATTGCGTGCCGGGAGCGCAGAAATAATGGATGGCACGTACTGTTACAGCCACTGTTGTGCTGACGCACTGTGGCTCAACCCCTCTCTCTCCCCTGGGAGAGCAGAAATAGCTGATGTAGAATAGTATGAACATACCGGTGCGGGCGGCTACTGTGATACAAAAGATGGCATGTTGAGAAAGCAAAAGTATTGGAGGCATGTACTGTTACAGTCAGTTGATACGGATGGATGGAGTATGGCATGGGGAGAGAGAGCAGGAGTGGGACATGTCATGCCTGCTACGCCCACAGTGATGGTGACTTAGCCATCCTTTTTCAGCATGTAAGTTTGGGATCCCGTTTATCATCTCCATTCCCGAAGCCCGTCTAAGAAAGGACGACTAGGGGTGCATGCAAAGTACCACAATTGATGTTACTCTGTAGTTGCTGCTACATTTTCACACAGACCCACCCATCCCATTGACTCACATTCCATTCTCTAAAACGGTTTTGGAGGACTAAGTGTTAGGCCCAACGGCCTAAGTCCGCTAAAGGATTAGCGGGGTCGACTAAGTCGAGGATGAAACGCGGCGGAAGACTTTGGCGAAAGAACTATTGGCGAAATAGGCGAAGAAGTTATTGAGTAATTGAAGAAGAGTTGAATGAGAATTGATTGATAATGGCAAATTATAATTTTTAAACACACGAAGTGTTTTTCAAAATTACGTATTTCGAAAGCGCAGCTGCTTGTAACGCATGTTTTGGCATCGTAGAAGCGCGCTAAACGCCCTTCTCCAACTACAAATCGTGGGTTGGAGCTCATTTCCCTCCACCCACGTCTCTCGTTTTCCAACGGCTCATGCAACTACATCTTCTCGAGCTCACTTCTAGTTTTACCGTTCAAGCTGGCGAGGACTCGCTCATTACCTAGAGGCGTTTCTCCTTCAACTTTATTAGCCGACATCCTTAACCAAAACCGCTCAACGATGGCTGCGATGCCGACGCTTAACCGTGCTAACAGCATCGTCGCCAACGACCCGATAATTTCCGACAACGACCGTAATGCCCGTGAAACGACGGGCGAGCGTCGCACAAGCGCCGGGCAGACGGCGAAACATCCGCTCCGACCGACGTGGACGTGCTGTTGGGCGGGCTCGAAGTCAACAAAAACGCCGAGCAGCACCCCCAGCACCCTTCGGCGCCTGTGGCGCCAGTGGCGAACGTGGCGACACACGCCGCGGACGCGGAGCACGCGCCAGCGGCACACGCCTCCGGCCGGCCGTCGCGTCAGCGCCAGAGGCGCCGTACGGCTGCCTCGTCTGACGCGACGGCTGACCAGGCCTTGACCGAGGCGTTGACCCCGGACCAAGTCAAGGCCCTCCTGTCCCTGTTACAGCAGCACCCCGCTAGCGCGATCGCCGCCGAAACTACACAACCTGCTGCATCTGCATCGGCTAAAAACGACATTGCAAAAAAGGAAAAAGGAGCAAAAGGACCATCAACGCGCCGCCACGACAAGGAGGCCGTTACCAGCGCTCCTGAAGCTGCAGCAGTCAACAACGACTCCGACGACTCAGACGACGACGCCTGTGAGGCTCCGAACAACGCAACAAATTTTCCCCCCATGGAAAATCTCCCTCCCCTCCCTTGCACTAACCCCACTTTTTCGGCGGCAAACTTCATTGACCCGATCGTGCGAGCGAAAGTGGAGCCCCTGGAGGACCTGAGGGCCTACCTGAAACACGCGGAGTACAAACTGCAGCGCGGCGATGCGGCGGGCGAACTTGAAATGGTCGCGAGCGCCCTCGACTACATTTCGGAGCGCTACGACATGCTTCAAGTCGAGGACGCCACCGACGATCGCGTCGCCAAGCGGTTCAAGATGTACCAGCAGAAGAGCCTCCTTACCTCCCGCCCGTTCAAGCAAGCCGTCGCCGACGTGGCAGCGATAGATCGCGCGGAGGGTGCGCACGCTCGATCCCACCGCGGCGGAGGTCGCGGGCCCATGGCGTTCAGCCCCAAGCGCGGCCCGCCTATGGGGAGCTTCCACGGCTTCTGTGGGACATGCTTCCGCTGCGGCCAGCCGGGGCATGTGGCAAGTGGCTGCCCGCGGAATGGCAATGGTGGCCAAGGACCCGCACCCGTGGTGTAGGGATGGTCCTTGAGCGTTTGCGCCTTAGCGCGCGTGGCACGGTGCACGTCAAGTGCGTTGACCGTGGGCAACCCAAAGGGGTTTGCGGTGGCTATGAGCCAAGCCCTAGTTAGGGGTGATGATTAGGCTATAGGCCTAGGTGGCAGGAGAGGGACTAGAAAGCCCTTTGGTCCCATAATTTGGCCCGTGCGGTGCGGGGCGGATGCATGCTAGGAAGCATGGCTATGTGTGGCCCGTTTCTTATAAGGGCTTTATTTTTAAAGAAGTACTTTCTGATCTTGGCTTTGGATGACAAAAAAAAAAAAAAAAAAAAAAAAAACCAGAGAGCGACAAAATGGCAAGCACCCACACGAACCCGAGCAAACGGCCCCACCATTCGTTGGCATTGGTAGCCTTTATATTGGCCACGAGCCAAAAAGGCATGTCATGGATAAAGGGAAAGCAAGAGCAAATGCAAAGAGTGAACGAGAGCGAGATAGAGAGAGAGAAAGAGAGAGAGAGAGAGAGAGAGAGAGAGAGAGAGAGAGAGAGAGAGAGAGAGAGAGAGAGGGAGAGAGAGAGAGAGAGAGAGAGAGAGAGAGAAAGAGAGAGGGAGAGAGGGAGAGAGAGAGCGAGAGGGGAGAGAGAGGCGAACTGCGTCACACATGGGTGACAAACGATGATTACGACTTGTTGATGCGTCTACGCACGCGTTATCGCATGCACATTCTTGAGACACGATGGCTTGCATTCTAACACCTCTGCGCCATTGTCACTCGGCAAACATGCAGAGATAACACGACACGAGACGCTAGGCGACGGAGATCCGTACGAGTTCGCCGTCACTGACAAATCTGTCACGCAAATGCGCGGGCGGCTTCGCGCAACCCTTGCATGGTGGAGCTCGTGGTGCCCCAGCAGCCTCATCCTCTCCGTCATCGCTAACGGTTACTGGCTGCCATGGAGCCACAACCCACCACAACCGTTTCACGAGCGCAACCACCTCGGGGCGCACACGCATGCTGCGTTCACACGCACTGCCATTCGCGAACTTGCCGAGACCGGCGCGGCGGTGGTCACCCCAGCAGCGGAGCTCACATGCATAAGCCCACTCAACGTGGTTGAGCAACGAGAAAAATGCAGGCTAATCCTCGACCTCAGAAAAGTGAACGCGCACCTGACCATCCCTAAATTCAAATACGAAGGCCTAAGCCGCGTGGCCGACCTGGCACGCATGGGAGATTGGATGTTCTCCATCGACCTCAAATCGGGATACCACCATATCGACATACACAACTCTTGCTGGAAATTCTTGGGCTTCGAATTTGAAGGGCGCACGTACGCTTTCCGTTCACTACCCTTTGGCCTTGCCACGGCACCATTTGTCTTCACGCAGCTCATCAAACAACTAGCCAGGCGCTGGCGTGAACAAGGCGTTCGAGTGATACCCTATGTGGGCGACATCCTGTTCTTTTGCACGTCCAAGGCCCACGCACAAGCAACATGCCAGCAGATAATTTCGGACCTCAAGATGGCGGGCTTGGTGATTAACGCGAAAAAGTCGCAGCTGCTGCCATCCCAACATCTGCGATTCTTGGGCGTCGAGTTGGACACCAAATCTGGTCAATTCTCAATTGGCACCGATCGACGGGCATCACTTCACGCACACATTCGGAACCTACTGGACGCAAGCAAAGCGCGCCGACAGGTTCCAGTCCGCCACCTGGCCAGAATCACCGGCACACTCGCGTCGATGGCCGTCGCACTCGGCGCCACGACGCGTGCATTCAGCCACGCCATGCTACAAGCAATTAACGACGCGCCATCCTGGGGAAGCAGCTTGAGCATTTCCCCCCCCGTTGCTGAAGAGTTGCAGTTCTGGCTTGAAGAGTTCGACAAATTTAATGGCGCACCATTCCACGTTCGGAATAGTTATGACGCGGTAATTCACGTGGACGCCAGCTCTCATAGTTGGGGCGCCACCCTTCTCACCTTCCCTGGTGAACTCGAAGAGGCAAGCGCAGCCATGCCAGAACCATTGCGAATGACGTCCAGCACTCGGAGGGAAATTGAAGGCGTCCTTTGGGCCCTTCGAACGTACGCGAACAAGGTTCAGCAAAAACACGTGCTTGTGAGGGTGGACAACCAAGGGGTCTTTTTCATCCTCCGCAAAGGCGGCTCTCGCACCCCCGACCTCACCACCGCTTGCAAGGACATCATCCGCACGTGCATGGAGCTCGGCACTCGATTAATTGTTGAATGGATCCCGCGCGAGCTAAACTCCCATGCAGATGAGCTGTCCAAAATGATCGACCACGACGATTACTCCTTGAAACAACCATGGTTCCGCATCCTCAATCGTCGCTGGGGTCCCCACTCAATCGACCTTTTCGCAAGCCCAAACAACTCGCAGCTGCCACAATTCTGCTCAAAGATACCACACCCGGAGGCCACTGCAATCGACGCATTCTCGATTTCATGGTCGACCGAGAATGGCTTCGCGTTCCCGCCACCCCAGTTAATCCCAGCAGACATCCACCACGCACAACGCACCCATGCCTCACTCACCCTCGTTGTCCCACATTGGCCAGGGGCAACCTGGTGGCTACTCCTACAACCCTCCCCACCTAGTTGTGCCCCGCATATCCAAGCACAAAT